TCCCGCATGACCCTTAACCCAGCAAAACCGTATCGTGCCATACGTGGTATGGTCGACGATGGTCCGGTGAATAAGGGACACAAGGGGGTGTGAGCTGTCGCGCTGGGACAGAGCATTGAGCGAGGAGCGTGAGTCTGATAGGATGAGTGCGTCTTTGTATTTCCTGCAATGTGCCAGCTGGCACGCTCGCAGGATGGCCAGCATCTCAGCCTGGAACACACTGCAGGATTCGTGCAATTTGAATTTATGTGTTGTATTTGCCGTATCTGTCCCAATATCGGGATCTATGCAAACCAGCGCGGCACCCACCGCCCCATTGTTCCGTTTGCTGCCGTCAGTGTATATATGGACAGTGTCCGGGCCACTGGTCTGATTGACCCGTTCCTGGTCAGGGGCTAAGACAGCCGAGGGTGAAATACGACGCGCTGGGTGTAGGAGTTCTGCTACCGGACGTGGGCATTCGAGCCGAACATCATCCGGCAGGAATTCAGATTTGGCCGTGACACGAGTGCGCTCTACGGTCGCCACCCTTTGTATGACAAGATCCAGCGGGGGGAAGTCAGCTAAAGCGAGGGCTGCATTGGATGAAATAGTGCGGTAACCTTGTATAGCACGGATGGCGAATCCTCTCTGTAGTGAGGTAAGCGCATTTCTGGACTTGACAATCAGGGCAGCGTGCCCCCAGATGCCCGCCGCGTAAGTCATAATTGGGACAATAACATGTTTGTAGATAGTCTCTATATTCTCGGGTTGCACTCCCCAAGAGGGGCGTACAAAGAGACATAGCCTTGTGAAGAGCTTGGTAGCCTTGGTGATGATGTATGTTATGTGCTTGTTGAATTTTAACTTGTCGTCGATGATTACACCAAGCAGCTTGAACTCACGTGAAAAGGGGACCTCCACATCTCCCATTATCACGCGAACCCGAGCCGACTTCGGAGAGAAGGCAAGAGCCTTGGTCTTTGTTGGGCCGAACTCCAGCTTGACGCTGTGTCCCCAGTCAGAAATCTGTTTGAGAGTGGAGTTAGTGTTTTTTTGGAGAGTGGCGACATTAGAAGCAGACACGATCAGAAGAACATCGTCCGCGTACGCCTGAAGGCGGCAGCCTTCCGGTATTCGCAAGCCGAGCAGCTCGTCCAGGATTAAATTCCATAGCGCTGGGCCGCAAGCTGATCCCTGAACGCATCCCCCCGTCATGTCTCTCACTGTCGTTGTGCCGGCAAAGTTTAATAAGACAGACCGGTCCTCTAAGTAGTTGGCGACTAGTCGAAACAGATTTTTCGGACATTTTACTGATTTGAGTCTATTGAGTATCGCTGGCCACCAAGCACGGCAAAATGCCGACTTGATGTTCAGCGACACTGCAATGCATAGTTTGCCCTTTGACTTGCACCGTTTGATATGTTCAACGGCATCATGTAGGGCATGCACAGTTGAAATGTGTCGTCGAAAACCATATTGGAGGGGGTTCAGGTTATCGGTTATCGCTAAGTGGTGTAAGATCCGGTTGATGAATAATTTTTCCAACGCCTTTCCAAAGACTGAAATCAGCCCAATCGGTCGATTGGCGCGTGGGTCCGCATTGTCTGATCCGGGTTTTGGTATGACTTTGACCACGGCCATCTTCCAAAATCGTGGGAAGTGACCGATGTTCAAACACTGGTTCATTAGATCGGCAAATAGGTTGGGGAAACAATTGAACGCTGCCAGGCAGATGTCAGAAGTTAGCCCGTCTAAGCCGGGTGACTTGCCCGATGGAGTAGATTTAATGGCGTCAAGTGTTTCCTCAACTGTGAACGGAGGATCATCCGTCGTTTCAGGTGGGGATCGACAGGATGATCGAACATCAGCCTGTTCAGGAGTGTCAGTAGATACCGGATCGTCGGGGAAAAAGAAATCAATCAGAGCATCTGAGGTCTCTGATGCGCTCGTAGTGTAACTATCCTCGATCACAACAGCTGAGGGAGGCATTCTGGGAGCACCAGACCGGAAAATGCGGTTGGTCACAGACCACACATCCTCTCCGGTCTGCCACTCGCAGAACTTGCGAAAATGAGCTGTTGATTGACTTCTAATTCCATCCCTGTACTTTTGTTTTAGGTCTGCTAACTCAGCGGTCAGTCGCAGAGTCTTCTCCGAGGGGGGAGAACCTCGGTCAGCCCTCCTGGCTCGGACCAAAGACCGTCGTGACTTCGCAACTTGTGCCTTCAAGTTAGACAAGTCATCCGACCACCATGGAGGGTCAAACGAGGGCACTCCGCCGCCCTTGGCAGGTGGAAATGTAATGTCGGCAACCTTGTTTATGATTGACGTAAGGTGGAGTACAAAAGCGTCAATCGCCACCTCATCCAGCATCGAGATGTCCGTTTGGGGGATGCCAGAGTCATCCAAATCATTGGTGAGTCTATCCCTAAACATGTTCCAGAGGCTCTTATTGCTCGTCTTATACCTAAAAGTCGAAGATGATCGAGTTCCAGGTATAGGGGCATGCTGTGTAAACTTAAATTCAATCAGGTTGTGAAGCGTCGACTCCAATATATTTGGTCTAACCCTCCAGTCAGTAATGCACTGGATGAGGGCAGGAGAGATCAGAGTGAGGTCAGTGTATGATTGCCTCAGAATACCATGCGTGATTTGCTTAAACGTTGGTATGTTGCCCTGATTGCAGCAGTGCAAATCAAGCTCGCTTAGTATCTCCCATACGAGATCCCCACGCGCATTCTGTCTCCCAGTGGGATCCCATACAGGGTGCCATCCGTTGAAATCTCCCCCGACGATCACCGAAGCGCCTCCCGCTTCTCGGATGACCTTCGCCAGAGATTCCAACGTGTCGTAGATGTCGTTATTGGGCTCCACGTACACTGATATAACTACGAAGTTTTTAATCCCAAGAGTAATCTTGAGGACGGCCAGATTGGGGGTCGAGTATTGAGGCATGAATAAGATTTTCAGCCTAATACTCCAGTTTTCTTTAATAAATATAGCCGCTTTAACGTGTCTGTCATCCACTGGCGTAGCCTGGTAGACAGTGATACCAGCAAGACTCCTCACCTGGTTGCTATTGCCTATATATGGCTCCGTTACAAGAGCGAAATGGCAGTCCCTACGGCGAAAGGCCCTGCAGAGCTCATCTGTGCCTGACCGGGATTTGCCTATGTTGGCCTGAATAAAGCCAATCGTAATCGTAATCAATCTTATTGATGAGGTTTTTGATAACATAGACATAATAAAAAAAGTATATGTTGCATATGTTAGTAATATTGAATTAATTTTATATTCAATTAAATAGTAACAGCCAAAATTTCAATTTTTATCAGTAGCATCATCACCTGAATAGAGATTCTCAAAAAATAGCGTTTCGACATCTTTTTTGTGTTTTTTTTAATTTTCGTTGTCCATTAAAAAAAAATTGTTTTTATTATATTTTATACCATCGCAGCGATCAAAACTCTTATGAGGCAAACTAAATTTAAGCTTCGGTCGGTCACCTTGATCGGTGGTAGATCTTTCGACGGCGGTGCATGCCGCGCGCCACTCCCGCAGCTCACGGCTGGGTTAGCCGCCAAGCGGAGCCGCCGGATGCGTCTTTGCGTGCCTGCTACCAGTGAGAGTCTTCTTTGCTTATAATCTGAAAAAAGTTTTGAGTTTCGTCAATAACCTGGAATCAGTAATAGACAATATCACATACATTGCTCTGAGCCCTAAATAGCACTTGTCTGTGACTGTGGTTGTTATAGGAGTGACGACTAATTTTTGTTAGTTTGTCTGTGAGGTAAACTATTTAAAAATTGTAGCGGTTAGATTCGCTATCGAATACGTTGACGCTTATGAAACACGCCAGAGGCGCATATCGTACGATGATCGCAATGGCCAGGGTATTAGGTCGGAACACCTCCTCGTGGGCCCGGGCAGCTACCTTTCCCATTCCCATACGTGGGATGGGAACGATAACGGTGTACCCCGGGTATAGGGATTAATGTGACTCGGTATTAACCGGTCCATTGATCCCTATGGCCAAAAGTCCGACACCGGAACTCGGCTGGCGTTCTGGTCGTGAGAGGGGACGTTGTTTGGTCGTGGAGGTTTTTTTTAATGCCCGGCATTACATTTCTTGGCCGAGCGTCCTACCTTGTCCCCACTTTGTAGCAGGCCCTGGTTACTGTTTTCTTTCATACCAGTTCTCGCTTATATACGTTCTTTCGTTCCTCATACTTAATCTTTTTTTTATCCATCATTCTTTCGTTCCTTTACGGCTAGGACTGCCGTTTCTACTTCTATCTATTTTTTTTTCTTTATTTTCTTTATTATTTATTTTGGGTAATTCAAAAACTTTATATTTTTATTGTTTCACATATCCTTTTCTTATGCTATCCTTATTCTATTTACAAGCTTATTTATCTCTACATTGTCTTATTTCTTTAATTATTCATATTACATATATTTATATTCTTAACATTGTATTATGTGAGTACCACGTTGTTAATTTTTTTTCTTAAGATCAGAGCCCCTAGACAAGTGGCATGAACGCTAGTAGAATACATAGATTGTTAAATGTATGGGATTGACATAAGCTTACGTTAAGTAATTTCGTCTCGTGTATCGAACTGTCAATTGGTAGCCAAGTGGTAACAATCTCTATTCGATAAAACGAAACGTCAGCGTCGATTGACATCTTCTATACAAAATCGTAGTCAAGTGGCAGTTTTGACAATCTAATACGCCTGTTAACGTTTGAAATCTTCGATAGCTAAGCGAACGCCAAAACCTTGGAGATAACGCCAGGGTTAGCGAAAAACCAGAGTTTATAAAATATCAAAACATGAATTAATAAGAGCGAAACACTGGATTCTGGCGAAATCCACAAGGGCAACGCCATTAATTAAAAAGAAGAAGAAGAAGTAGCGAACGTTACCTACTATATTTTCTAGGAAATTTTAATCACCCGCAAGTTTTGTATTTCGTCTTTGTTAATATCGTAGATATTAATTCTTGTTAGTAAAATGCACGCACTTCGGCTTATGTGGGCTGCTCATAACGAGGAGATGTGGCTCAGGCGCCGCCGAAGTAACGCGATGCGTCGGTTGGTGATGAGCCAAATAGATGAGATGCCCGAAGAACTCTTCAGAGAAAATTACAGGTTCTCTAAACTTTTGTTTAGGAACCTTTGTTACAATTACAATCATCTACTTCGTTACGAGGTACAAGAGAAATCTCTCTGGAAGTCAAGGTAGGTTATACTAATAATTTGATATTATAAGTATCTACCTACTATAATTTTTCTATGAAATGCAATGAAGCTCGTATAACTTAACAAGTATAGCTAAATATTTATCTACATACAACTCATTTTGTATTTTACAGGTTCTTTGTACGCTGAGTTTTTTAGCAACAGGATCATACCAAAGGATCGTTGGGGTCACACAACATCTGCCTTAACGCACAGCAAGCCGTTGTATACGGCAAGTTGTGGCGGCCCTTAACAATCAAAATGTACTGAATAAGTACATCAAATTTCCACAGACACGGCAAGAAAGATCAACATTAAGACAAGAGTAAGTAGTACTCATACATACAATTTTATTATTAGGTAGGTACACTATTTAGTATTGTAATTTCAATAATTCAATTAATATATTTTTTATAGGTTTCAAAGAAGATTTAATTTGCCAGGTGTAATAGGGTGCATTGACTGCACCCATATAGCAATAATAAGGCCTGACTCTGTGGAGCACCTTTATTTCAATAGGAAAGGATTTCATTCTTTGAATGTTCAAATGGTAAGTAAATGCAATGCAATCCTTAGCTGCATTTCTATTGAGATTTAAATAAAATGTGATGTATCTACATGGGAAGCAAAATACAGATATATATATATATTTTATACCTCTCTAATATAAATTAATAAGTGTTTTAAGTTGTCATAATAGATAATATTATTTTCACAATATACAAAAAAGTGCATGGCTCACTTGTGAGTTATACTGTGTACTAAGATGAAATAGTACCTAACAATATTATGCCTGCTTACAGATCTGTGATCACAATTTAAGAATCATGAACATTAATGCCAAATTTGGAGGGGCAACACATGACTCATTTATATGGGCATCTAGCCAGGTTGAGCCATTTATGCGTGGCCTGCATCAGAATGGGGAACAGACATGGTTATTAGGTAAGAAAATATACCTTTGAAGTAATATTTTATATGTTGTATAATATGTAGCTAACATATTATACAACATTTAATTCACCAGAAGAAAGGCTCACTAGAAAGTTTTTTTTTTAGGTGATTCAGGGTATCCCCAGAGGGCTTGGCTGATGACCCCAATATTGCATGCTGCACCTGGTTCTCCAGAAGATACATACACCAGACGCCATATCCATGCAAGAAATTGCATCGAGCGTTGTTTTGGGCTACTGAAGGCACGGTTGAGATGTTTGCTTAAACATAGAACACTACATTACCATCCTCATGTTGCCAGCGAGATAGTGCTTGCATGTTGTGTATTGCACAATATTGCACTAGAAGCCTGTCTGCCAGCACCAGAAGATATAGCTCAGCAATATAACAATAATGATGGTAATAGTGTTGATGTTCAAGCTGGGTCTTCTCTTCACAGCAGCCAAGAGGATATCATGCGAGGCAGAGCAATGCTCAGTTGCTTGGTAAATAGTCTATAGATAAACTAAGGACTGAATATTAAATGGGAAATAAAAATTTTAGTAATATAAAACAATTTTTATTTATTTTCAGTCATTGAAAACAAGTTCTTAAAATTATAAAGCATTCAAATGCAACTACTTTGTCTTTGGAATCACATAACTAGATTAATTATAATTATTTTTTCAGGAAACATGTTTATTATGCTGTGTTTACACTGAGCCATGAACAAGCATTTTTGACAGCCATTATGTTTTGATTGCTTCTATATTTGAAAATACTGATATGAATAGTGATGAGTGTCAAACATGTTCATTCACTCCTGTAGTGAAAGTGCAGCTTAAGGGTGAACTTACATACATACCGACCGCGAATGAACATGTTTGACACTCTTCACTGTTTATGAAGGTCAAAGCGTTTATAAATATGGAACTATGGACATATATATATGGCAACTCAGTGTAAATACAGCATTACATACATAAAAATCTAAAATCGAACACTAAGCATTAACACCACAGTTGAAGTATTATTAAATAAACTTATAATCATCAGTAACACGACATTAAAATTTTAAATAACTCAAACCCAACAAAACTAACTCGTCTATGAAATAACATTTTCTATATATCAACAAAAATATATTAAATATAAATTATAATTATTTTCTAGTTGACTTTTTTTAAGGGATAATTTTCCTCATGATCAACAACTTGCCCAAAGGAACAGGCCGAAATATAAAAAAGGATGTCTCCCATACAAACTGCCCAGTCATGTTAGTTATCATGAGGACATTCATCCTTTAAAAGGAAGTGTAATAGACAAAATTAGAACCTTATAATTTGCTTAATCATAAAAACTTGAAATTTGAAACATATACAGAGTTTGATGACCCAAATACGGACGTATATCGCTAATAAACAAATCTTATTAAGGGAGCCACTTTAGGGAAGCAAATAGAAAAAAAAAATAAAAAGGAATAATACTTGTAAATTAGAATTTGTCTATTTACGATATACGTCCGTATTTGGGTCATCAAACTGTATATGAGTTACAAAATTTCATTCCGTAGATTTGGAGATGATCGGCTGTGAGAGAAAACAGACCGAGTAAGATCATAAGGGTTCTATTGCACCATTTTGGTATAAACCCTAATTATATAAAAAATACACCAGAGTTATTCATTAATGAAGCCAGAATCTAATTGCTGCGGAGTTAAACATTTAATTATATTCATGCCAATTACAGCTAATTCTTGCAACAATGTATTTTGTTGCCGAGACAGTTCAATCCTCTGGGCCTCCAGCCGCAGCCTCTCCATCTCCCGTTCATGAAGGAGCTTCTCTTTAGCCATTTCATTCTCCAACCGCCGCTTCTCTATAGCTACAAATTCGCTTGCCGCGCGATCGAAGGGATTTAGTCCCTTATTCCTTCGCGCCCTTGGTAATGATCGGCGCGGAGTAGTAGTAGTAGTCGATCGAGGCGTCGAAGTAGTCCGGGAGAAGTGTTGGGTTTGTACTGGAGGACTTCTTGGCGGAGATGGAGTTCTTCGCGGAGATGATGATGTCGGAACTGGAGGTGGAGGTGAAATTCCTCGTAGTGTGTCTGGTGGGGAAGGAACTCGTGAAGTCGCTGCAAGTAATAAAAAATATATTACATAACAATATACTGACATACTAGTGACACCTATAAAGAATTTAAAATTACATTATTTCCGAATATTCACATTTACAAAAAAGATTTTTACATATAAGAGTTTATGCTAGATCTTCTTATTGCACTTAAAATACTTACTGTTTTGACTGCTCGGGACCTCCACATGAATGTCCTCTCTTTGGCTCGGCTCAAACGGCACCTCACTTGGTTGTCTCTGAAATATGTGTTATTTGAGTATTAATGTTATTAATGACCACTATCAAAATATCATGAAAGGAAAAAGATAAAATTATAAGATGATTACATAATTATGTGAAAGACATTTATGCTACATTAGGTACATATATTTTAAAACTAAAAAACTTGTGCAAATACAAAGAGTAGGGGGTATTCCAGCACTTATGTGGAATAAATAAAAACAAAATACTAACAATAAAACCCTGCTCTTGGATCCCAGGCTGCCCAGTGATAGCATGTGTCCCTATAACTGCCACCACCCGCTCTTCGAACATGGTTAGGGCAGGGCATCGCCTCGGACCACCTCCTGTACCTTGCGACTTGTTTCTTATATTTAAATATTTTTTTTTTGTTTTTGTCTTCAAGTCTGCCCATACCTAAATAAAGACAGTTATTTAAAAACACCGGCGAAATAATGATGTTAGTTGGCCTCTAAGAGTTCGAGCAATTGTTTCACTGCAGGATTTCGATGCATTGCCTTTTCTTCTATGGACAAATATCCAATGACAAAAATCAGCTTCCCATACATTTAACAAAGTTGCAGCAAGATATTGCAGTGAAACTATTGCTTGTCTAATCAAAGCATAAATGAGAGTGAAAATACTTTATCTAGTATAGTAGGCAACAGATCAAGAAGAAATGGCCTCTACTACAAATAGATAAGAACATAGTGTCTAATTTGATCTGTTGCTGTAGGAACCTCAAAGCGGTAGCTAGGAATCTACTTACCTTTTTCCATTTATCGGCAGATTTCTGCACGCCACCACCCACGGAATTTAATAAAACGGTCACCTCCTTCCACATTTGGTCACTTTTTAATCGTCCTTGAACACCAGGATGGGGCCTCAAGATATCGCCGTGCCTATATCAAGGAATAAATTGTACTTCTGTCGTATATTGTTACTTGAATCGCGTCAGCTAGATGAAGTATTTTAGGTGATGTAAGGAATGATTTCTATAAAAAATACCTTTCCATGAACTCGATCATGATTGAGAACTGCTCTCTACTGGCACATTGTCGTGGTTCCATGACTGTAAGACAAATAATAGTTAATTTTGTAAACATAATAAGAAACAAAAAGGCGCGACTGAAGTTTACTATGATGAGTTAAAAATTGATTTGAATAATTATTGTAGCATGTGATACTTAAGATATTTATCACTATACAATACTTACCTGTAATAAACCCACAATAACTTTAACCAATGAACACAACACAAGATAATAAAATAAAAAGAAACAGCAACTTCATAGTCAGTTCACATTATTTTTTTAATTTTAACCGCGCTCTCATTTATACGTATGTCAAACTGACGTTTGCTAACGCTAACCAAGCGAACCAAATACAATATCCAATTTTTTTCTATCGATCGAATCGACTGAGCGTTCGTCAACTGGTTTGACACTTGGCTACCAATTTTCAATCGCTTTCGTCTAAGCGTATACGTTTTTCGGAATAGAAACGACACCGAGCGTTTGACACTTGTCTAGGCCCTCAGAAGTGGGATAGGATCTACGATCCTATCTACTTGCATTTTGTTCTTATTAAGATTTTTGATCACAAGTGAAAGCCAAAAATGTCGGAACGAAGCCGTCGCCGAGATTCTCGCTATGATAATCGCGATGATAGTAGTTCTGAAGGTAGAATGAAAAAAACAATGAAGGAAATGCTGACACGGCTTAAAGCTTTGGAAAATCAGGCATCAAGTGCTACTCGTCGGTCATCCAAACGATGCAGGGAATCTACGTCACGTTCCCCGCGCCGGCGCCAGTCATCGCGCTCACCGCGATCTAGGCGCGTGTCACCGCGGTCGCCGCCAGCCCGGCGCCATACTTCCCCGCCACTGCGGAGCCGTTCTCGATCATCGCATCGTCGTGTTCCTTTGCTGCTGCCGGTTCGCACTGCGACGATGCCAATGCCAGCGCCTTGTCAGGAGCGCTCCCGGACGCCGCCTATGCCGGAGTCTGCTCCTAGCGACGTGAGCGTGCCCGCAACGGTGACGGATCGGATCGTGGATGCGATTCGTTCGATAAACAATTCGGTGAGATCAAACCAAAATTTTTATATTTCTAATTTTGATCCTAAATTGCATAATATTGATGATTGGTGTGAAGAAGTCGATCGTGCTAAGAGCTTAAACAACAGGAACGATTACGAATGTCTTTCGCGAATAGGAAACTGTTTGAAGGGAGATGCTCGAACATGGTTAAATGAGTTGGTGACGGGCGATCGTACGTGGAGTGGTTTTAAAAAGGAATTCAAACCGTTGTGTCCTAAAACCCCTGATATTGCAAACATTTTGTATGACGTAATGCAGACAAATTCTGATAACTACCCCACGTACGATGACTATGCGCGACGCTGTTTACTTCGCTTGCGTATAGTACGAGGACTCAGTGATGAACTTATGACCGCAATTATAATACGCGGTATCACTGATCCGCATATTCGAGCATCCGCTACGAACGCAAAGTTACAGCCAAACAATTTAGTTGAGTTTTTCTCAATTTATGTAAAACCCAGTACCTCCAAAAATACTACTATTCGCGCAGTTACATCGCAACAATTTCTTAATAAAAATAAGACCAATTCTAGTGTTATTTTAAGAAAGCGTAGGCTAGATGAGGGAAAATGTTTTACATGTGGTCTTTCAGGACACAGACAGGCTTTTTGCAATAAAACTTCTAAAACGAATATGGAATCTAACTCTAATAGCAACAATTCGAATTCAAAGCCGGTATTTACGTCACAAAAATCCGAGCCATGTTCGTTTTGCAAGAAGCTTGGTCACAAAATTGATACTTGTTTCGCCAAAGAAAAATCAGAATCACGAAATAAAAGCGAAGTTAATTTTTGCCGCGAAAACAAAACTACCACCAATCGGGATGTTATTGTAGCTGTCATTCAAGGAATACCAGTGGATGTTCTGATAGATAGTGGTTTATGCATATCGCTCGTTTCGTCGTCCTTGTTGAAGCACTTTCATTGCTCTCAAAAACCTACCTTTCGTATATTAAAGGGATTAGGGAGTCAAGAAATAGAAAGTACCTCATATGTAACCTTACCTATAGAATTTGATGGCATCACTTTGGAAGTTGATCTGTTTGTGGTAGCATCTGAGTTCATGAATACGCCAATAATAGTGGGAACCGATGTGTTGAATAGGGAAGGTGTACAATACGTTCGTACCCGTGACCTTCAGTTACTGACGCATAAGATGTGTAGTACTAGTACAGTTATGACAGTTCAGTATGACTCGTCTTTTCCAATCAAAACTTCTCTCAGTGACGAGCAGTTACAGCAGTTGCTGGCAATCATAAATGAGTTCTCACGACATTTTGTCACTGGTACTGCGACTTCTACCGTGAATACAGGTAGCATAGCTATTAAATTAAATAGTAATGCTCCTGTCTATTATCGACCGTATCGTCTCTTGCATGCGGAAATACTTCGAGTGCGGGTCATAATTGGTGATTTGATGTCGAAAGGAATTATTCGGGAATTGAACTCTGATTATGCAAGCCCGATCCTCTTAGTAAAAAAGAAGGACGGGTCCGACAGAATGTGCGTTGATTTTCTAAAACTAAATGAATTAACCATCAAGGATCGTTTCCCATTACCGCGAATCGACGATTATATAGACAGGTTAGGAAGAAATAAATATTTTACTAGCCCAGATATGGCTACCGGGTTTCACCAGGTCCCCATTCAGGAAGACTCTATTCCACTCACTGCATTCGTTACGCACGAAGGGCATTTTGAATATCTCAAGATGTTTGAATATGGCTTAGCCAATGCACCAGTCGTTTATCAAAGAATAATTGCTAAAACTTTACGTAAATTCATTGATTCTGGTAATGTTTTGGTATACATCGACGATGTTTTGATCTGAAGTATGACCATTGACCAAGGATTAAGCCTATTACGCCATGTATTATTAACTTTAACCCAGGCAGGGTTTTCTATTAACTTACAAAAATGTTCCTTTCTAATCACTGAGATTGAGTATTTAGGCCGGACTATTTCTCAGGGTCAGGTAAGACCGAGCTACAGTAAAGTTAAAGCTTTAGTCGACTCCGCGGAACCAATGAATATCAAGCAGGTTCGCCAGTTTATGGGCCTAGCCAGTTATTTTCGCAGATATATTCCTGGCTTTGCCCAGAAAACCGCCTGCATCGCTACTCTGACAAGGAAGGGCGTAGAATTCAGATGGGGTTTTAGCAGGTTAACGCAAGGAGCAGAGAGTAAATATCACTCGTATGAGCTCGAAACTCTTGCTGTAGTTAAAGCGCTACAACATTTTAGGCCATATCTTGTAGGTGCACGCTTCACTGTGGTCACTGACTGCAATGCTTTGAAGCTCACGCAACGTAAAAAGGACTCACTACCAAGAGTGGCCCGGTGGTGGGTGTACCTGCAAGATTTCGATTTTGGACTGGAATATCGAAAAGGAACTTCTATGTCACACGCTGACTATCTAAGTAGGAACCCTTTTAGCATGTGCTCAATCCAAAAGTCACGTAATTGGGCACAGATTGCTCAAGCATCTGACGAAGAGACCACGCACTTGATACAAAAACTTACTGACGGACAACTAGACACGACTCGCTACCAAGTTAAGAACGATATACTTTATTTCAAATACTCGCCTACTGGCGAATCTTCTCGATTTCTTTGCTACATCCCGAAAGGCCACAGACTGAGCCTTCTTCGTATATTCCACGATGAACATGAACATGTTGGAGTAGATAAAACTATTAACCTGATTTTAAAACACTTTTGGTTCCCCAACCTAAGATGTTTCGTTCAAAAGTACATAGCACATTTCTTGGTTTGTATCTCCCATAAGAAAGTTGCACGAGCTCCACTACAACCTATTAGCTCTTGGGAAAAACCTGATGTGCCCTTCGACACCATCCATATGAACACCCTAGAGCTCCTTCCTGAAGTTGACGGTTTCCGTCACATTTTGATAGTTATAGACGCCTTTTCAAAATTTTGCCTGTTATACCCGATGTATCGACAAGATGCTGATGAATTGAAGCGTCATTTCAAAAATGTCATCTCTCTATTTGGGACACCCAGATTAATTGTGGCTGATCGAGGCCGTATGTTTCAAAGTACCGAGTTCCTTAATTGGGTTAAGAAAATGGGATTCGATACTCATTTCATAACGCCGGAAATGCACCAAGCGAATGGGCAAGTAGAACGCTATTGCCGGACGGTGCTTAATATGATTCGTATTGAGACCAACTATAGACAACACGACTGGCCTAGCATGACTTGGAAAATTCAACTGGTGTTGAATATTTCTAAACATAGTACAATTCAAGATTCAGCTCTGAATCTACTGGTGGGCATTGACGCTGCCACTCCAGTTATCCGTGGTGTAATACGAGATGTTGCACTCGAAGGCTCCAGCCCCAATAAAGAGGCTCTTCGTGAAATGAGCCGACAACGAGCATCAGAGAGGTTAAAGCAGAATCAGCAAAAACAAGATGCCTATGTCAATCAAGGCAGAAAGCTTGCACGTAGTTTCGAACTAAACTCATTAGTCTTTGTTAGAAAACAGGCGCAGTCAACGGGCAAGTTGGACTCTTGTATGCGCGGTCCCTACCGCGTGTTGAGGGTGCTGCCTCGTGGACGCTACGAGCTGCAGCTTGTGGCTGGGTCATATGGGAAGTCGACCCAGGCTGCAGCGGAATTCATGATTCCGTGGCGAGGAGAGTGGAGCCCCGAAGTTTGCGCTGCTTTCTTCGATGGTAAGTTATCTCTCTGTTGGAACAGTATTGGAAAATGCTTCACGTCGTGCCTCTTTTCCATTGACTGTTGGTGGACATGCTTCACGTCGTGCCTCTGTCCTGATGTGGACAAGACAAGCTTCACGTAGTGCCTCTGTCTTGGCTTTTTTTTTGAGTTAAGCTTCACGTAGTGCCTCTGCCTCAATGCCTGTAAAATTATGCTTCACGTCGTGCCTCTAGCTTTACTTTGTAATGAGATACGCTTCACGTAGTGCCTCTGTCTCGCC